TGCGCCTCGATTTATCTCGGCTCCGCCACCCCTTTCGAGGCCACGGTCGTACTCTCCGTTGGAGCGGACAGCCCTCGAGACGGAGCGAGACACCATGATGGGGCTTCAGAGGTGGAAACGAACCACCGAAGTAACCTTCGCCAGCGATCCTGTTATCATTCGCTATGCAGACAAACCCCCGCGCGTAGCCTTCGACTATCGCCGAGCCAACGACTGCATGGCCTGGGATCCATATCCCTTTCCCATCATGCTCGACATCCTGAACTGGATCGTCGCAGTCCCATTCCGATACATATCGGGAGGTGACGCAAACAAAGGATTCTACCAAATCGCCATCACCGATGCGTCGGTACGCAAATGGCTCGCGCTCAGACTCCATGACGGCATCTACGAACCACTCTTTATGCCCTTCGGACCCAAGACTGCCCCCTCGCACTTCTGTCGGGTGATGGACGACACCTTGGGTCCCTCCAAATGGCGAAATATCAACAACTTCGTCGACGATATCCACACACGAGCGGAGACAGCCGCGGAAGCCCTAGACGCCATCGCGGACTGGCTCGACCGCTTTTCCAGAGCCAAACTCACCCTAAGACTCGACAAGTGTCAATGGCTCTTTCACCAGCTCACGGCCCTCGGTTTCGTTGCCTCCTCTCAGGGTCTCGCTACCGATCCAGACAAGGTCGCAACCATAGTCGATTGGCCACAACCCAAATTCATAGGTGACCTATGGTCATTCGTGGGTCTCCTAGGGTTCTACGCCCAATTCATTTCTCGCTACGCGGAACTCGTCCGACCCCTGCAAGACGCTATCCAAGAGGGCGTTCGCGAATACCGAGACCTTAAAAAGGGTCGCGCTGACCCGAAGAAAGGCGCTGAAAAGCTCAATTCACCATCCATGCTCGACACGGCGGTGGCCCCTACAATCACAGCCACCGGAGCCCAATTTGAGGTTTCGCAACATCCGAAATCTAGCTCCTCAGACCTACCGGCGGTCAATCTACGCCAATCATCGCTGGCGGACTTACCCATTGACCCCTTTTGTGTCGGACGCCTTGCTCGCAAGCGCCCCGACCAAGGTCTGCGCAGATTTATCGCGAAGCGTGAAGTTTCATGGACCGATTCCCGAAACTCTGCCTTCGCAGCCGCCAAGCAGGCTCTGACAACAGCTCCAGTGCTCGCGGCACCCAGAAAAGGGTTCCCCTACACCCTTCACAGTGACGCTTCCTACACAGCGTTTAATGTCACGCTCGAACAGTTACAGCCGGATGCTTCTAAACGCCCGCTGTGCTACCATTCCCGAGGCACCACCACCTCGGAAAAGAAGGCCCCCCCCGTCGAACTCGAGGCCGGATGCCTCATTTGGGGCCTCGGAAAACTCCGCCCATACCTCGAAGGCCTGCCTTTCACGGTCATTACTGATCACCGAGCTCTTTTGTGGCTCGCTAAATACAAAGGCGAGAACCGTAAGCTTCTCCGCTGGGCCCTCGATCTTAGTTACTGGTCCGAATGGATGACAATCGTTCACAAACCAGGACGTTTTCACATTGTCGCTGATACACTTTCACGGCTACTAGGAGCGGAAACCCTACTCTGCTCCACCGCGACCCAAATATGGGTGTCGAAACGCGGAAGACGATGGCTGCGCACCACACCAGCTGCTCTCGCACCTTCCTCGACACTGGCAGATGCCGTCTTTCGTCTGGCCTTACAGCCTGCACTCATTGCCGCCATCCGCGCTGGCCTCACCGGCCAGCTCCACCCCATAGCCCAACAGGCCCGCACGCTCCTATGGGAGACCAGCCCCGACACGTACACTACCGCCGACACGCGCTTTCTTCAGGACTGGCAACGTGCAGATAACCTGCTGTGGCACCGTTTTTCAGTCTCCGAAGACCTTTGGCGCCTTTACGTGCCCCCTGCTTGCACCCCTGAGGTGCGCAAGCTTTTTCACGAGGGGGGAGGACACTTCGGATTCGAAAGAACCTACGCTAGAGCTGCAGCGCAAGTCTGGTGGCCGAAAATGGCACAAGATTTCAGAAAACACTGCGCAGGATGTGAAACCTGTCAACGCTCAAAAAGGGTACCGCAACTGATTCCGGGGTTGCTGAAACCCATACCACCAGCTCCGGGACGCTGGACAGTCATCACGACTGACTTCGTAACCAAGCTCCCACTTACTTCCAGAGGGTACGACGCCTTTTGGTTAATAGCATGTAAATGCTCAAAGAGGATCCACGTATGGCCCCTCAAGAGCACTGCGACAGCTATTCAGGTCGCGGAACTCTTTATAGAGCGCTACGTCCCATTGCACGGCATCCCGGAGACCATTATCTCGGACCGCGACTCCAAATTTACGAGTCGATTTTGGCAGGAGGTCTGCAAAAACCTAAAGATTAATCAAGAGCTCACCACAGCCTACCACCCTCAAGGTGATGGACAATCAGAAAGAGACAACGCAACGGTCTTGCAGGTCCTTACCACAATGGTCAACACCCGATTAGACGACTGGGACACCTTTCTTCCGGTTGCGGAATTCATTATCAACGATACGGTACACGAGGCGACAAAAATGACGCGATTCAGAATGGACCTAGGCTATGAGCCCCACAATCCACTGGCGGACATCGTCGAAAGGCCGTCAGAAACCAGAAATGCAGATGCGGAGGAGCTCTGTAAACACCTCGGCGACCTAAACATCCTTATCCGAGATCTGATGATCGAAGCCCAGGATTCGCAGAAAAGATATTACGATTTATCGCGACGACATTTGGAGTTCCGGAGAGGAGATAAGGTGCTTCTGAGCACGAAAAACCTAGCAGGGTATGAGTCCAAGATCGCTCCGAAATGGCTGGGACCAGTCACGGTGACCGACTGTAACCCTCTCCGCGACAACTACGAGTTAAAACTGCCAGACAAGATGAGACGACTTCATCCATGGTTTCACATATCGAAATTACGTCCGTACCAGAAGCCTGTCGACGCCGAAACTGAGGAAAAGGTCGCGGAAGCACAAGCGGAGGATTCCAACGCTTCAGATGGCGAGTTTGAAGTGGAAGCGATAGTAGACCATCGAACCAGGCGCGGAAAACGTCAATTTCGAATACGTTGGTCCGGATACCCACCCCATGAGGATACCTGGGAACCAGAGGAAGCCCTAACAGAGGCTTCCGAAGCCTTAGAAGAGTACTGGAGATCCAGAGCTCCCACTAGCGCGCTAGTAGAGGACTCTTTGGTAGTCAGCCTTGCAGGCGACGCCCCGGAAGATACGGCTTATGCTTCCGACCACCAATGCTTCGCGGTTTATCCGGACGATAGCTCACGTGATAATCACGCCCTCTCACCAGAAAGAAAACCAGTTTCGCGTGGCTTACCTCACCAGTCGAGAACGCCACACCAAGCCTCCCGATCACGCTTACGCGCGTCCGAGCTGTCAAAATCAGCCGGCGACGACCTTAAAAGGACGCCCCTGCACGCTCCCCCTCTTTTTTCTTCTTCAACCGCCCACGACCTACTTCCCTTACACACTCACTCTGCTTCGCAAACCCCTTCTATCGACACCGAAACTAAAACTTCCATTTCTAACACAATGAACACCGATCTCAGAGGACAAGCAGGAGTGAGCGTACCCTCCACGTACATGTCCGGCTACCCTTGGGAGGAAGACTCGGGCGACTTCGAGGCCGAGGGCGTGCTGGATCGCCTTGGGGTTGCGATCGCTACCTGGGTTCACTCCTGGGTTCATCAGCTTCGGACCAACCCCAACGCGCCGCTGCAGACTCCAGGGCATGAGTTTTGGCTGGGAGTCGACGCTCCGAAACCTTACGCGGTGGGCCAGCCCCTCACAAACCACATCGCGGACCCCTACAGCAAGGCCACCGATGGTGGTGAAGCAGCGGTCGGAATAGTTGCCGACGCGAAAAAACCCGGAAAAAGAGGGCGCCCAGCTCCGTGCGCCGCTTGGCTCGACCGCGGGGTTCCCCAACATGAGGCGGGAAGCCGAAAAACGGCTCCGTTCACCGATTGGCCGAATGACGACGCCCACGAGTTTGCGTCCGCCGTCATTGAAGCAGCTAGGACGGTGCTCCTAAGGACGGCGAACGCAGCGGAAGCCTCTGCAAGGCTCACCAGACCCCGACATCACGAGCACGCGGAGTACCATTTCCGCGCGACAAACCTGAAAAGGGCCGCGGAGACCTTTACGGCCCTCTACGTAACCAGAACTGGCCCCGACGTGACCCCGGGTACCATCGTTCGTACCGCAACAGATCAAATCTGGTTTTGTTGCAACGTCGGTGGCCGTGCCAGTATCATCTGGGTCGTGAACCAAGATGCAGATGAAGCGGACCCCACAGATCCGGTACCGACCTGGTAATTGACGTCCCAACACCCCCGCTCGGAGCGCCGGTGCATTGGCTCTTCAAAGGGGGGATGTAACGACGAGGACGTCTTCGAGAGATCGCGAGTAAGCCCAAATCGGACGCGGGAAGCACGAATCGCGTGACCAACTCCACCGATTGGGTTACCGCGACCGAAAAAACCGGTTCGGAGAATGGCAATTGGCGCATTAGATTTCAGCGTGCCTCGTACAACCTGTGGAGGCCCGAGCCAGTGCGGAAAAGGAAGAGATCGGTACCGCCACCAATAAATCAGTTGCGGTGCAGCGACACCCATTAGTTTAGTTTAGTTTAACAGTTTATCCAAGAATCTTGTATAAAAAGGATGTATTCAATAAAATAAGTCGGGGGCAGAAGCCGTAGCGACAAAAAAATCCCCATAACTCGCTTCTCAACTCCAATCTTAGGTTAACAGGAACCTAACAGAGCGCTTCAACGGCCTGATCACCCGTACCGAAGCCTCTAAATCCTGCTCGGTTCACAACTAACCGACTCTCCTTGCCTCTCGCCCTCAAGTCGCTACCGACGCCCAAAGAAAGGATTTGGAGACTACGATTCCTAGTACGGACACCCACACAACCTGCTAGGAGACCCAAGTTGTCTTTACCGTAGTCTACCAACAAAAAATCCGTTACAAGTTTCCGCTTCCCGTCGCATGATGCAAAGGATATGCTGGTACAGGATGACCGTGTCGATGCGAATATGGGACTGAATCAGAGACCGATGAAGAGGTATTGCGCTGAACCGACGGAAGCCATGTCGTTCATACAGCACAGAGAGTTTGCAGTAAGCAGGAAAGAAAGCGAGAGGGTCAACAGCAACCGAATATGCAAGCGGCTGGTCGGAAAGGGGAATGAAGGACCACATCTCTTCTAGAAGCTCACTCTCTTCAGCAGTCAAGTCATCCAGCGACTCGGGCACGATATCAAAAAGAAAAACTGACTTTAAGTAGCGTAGCCGAGTAAAGAAGGCTTTCCATGCATCGCTTTTCAGTGGCAGTCGCTGCTTCTGTCCCTTCACATCGAGCCGCAGATTGATATACCGAAGGAGCATCTGCATGAAATGCTCTTGAACGTTGACTTTCAGGTTCGTCATCATACTCGCTGTCAGGTAATTGATTGACTGCTGCTCTTTTTGTAGATTTGGATGAACGAAGCTGATGATGTGGCAGTACCGTTGAACATATGGCAGCAAACAATCCCGCCATGCCTTCTTTGCTTCCTTTCTTGGATGCCAAGCCTCCCCCTTGTTGAGAAGATAGAGAATCGCTTCAATTGTATCTTCATTTACCGTGGGAAAGGTTGGTGCATATAGGATGTAGAATTTGAGAGCGTGGGAAGCATGGTCAGCGAGTTGATGGATGATGGCGATGTAATCTAGAAGACGCTGCTGGTAGGTCTCATTAGGCAAGAAAGCCTTTGTGAAGGACGTCTTGTTGCAGGTATGTAAGGTGGGTTTGTCAAGTTTTTCGAGCCTTTCGAGCTTTTGCTTCTTCTTTGGTGGCATGATGATATCTGTAGAAAAAGATGAAAGCCTGGGAAAATGGACGATGACTTACATAGGATTTTTTGAATCAAACCATAGTTCATGAGTCTAAATCGAGTAAAATTATGATTAAATTGGTTGGAATCTTTGTACTAGTGCCAATACCCATCGGCTCCGCACTATGTTTCTGATTAACAATGATTACCTACTGTTTACCCCACCCATTAAAAAACCAATATTAAAAAATATCATTTCTTTTAAATGATCTTGATTCTCAATCTCGTCGTCCGTCGCAGTACCAGTGCAGCCAGTACTTGAAACGCCAGTCCAAGACCCACAAGCACGATAATACACACTGCTTTCGAAGGTGTGTCCTATATAATTATGCATGAACAGAATGAGAAAATGTGGGCTTGAAAGTGCACTTGGGTTGTACATACCAGTCCAAACGATTTAACGATTTGCTCTCCTTGAGCTGCACAGAGTGCACCTCCGCTTGCACCACCACCTCCCCCCGGACACTGAAACTCTAGTCCGTAAAATTCGTTTTGCATATACGCCCCATACGCATAACGAATGATTGATATCCTACACATTTCCATTTCAGTACCGTTCAAAATCAACGATTGAAATAAAAGACACTTTACCATTGAATCCACCTCAAAACCGGCGTAATACTATCCTGATTCGCAAAGTTTCCTCCAAAAATAACAAACAGAACCACAACGAGCGGTCCAAACACTTGAGCCATTTGCACATTTGGAACACTATATACATAGTTAGGGCATGATATGATTCGACAGAACGCATATACAACGCACCTGGACCCAATAAGCATCCCCAAACTCTGCGCCGCAAAAACCAGACATTGCGTAATAACAATAAACAAAATCCATCGACCCACATTTGGCTGCAGCCCTATGAGCCAATATACGGGCAGACTAAACAAGAGGGATGCGCAGATGGCTAGAGGCCATTGGGAGAGAGATTTTGCGAGGTAAGCCGCGGAAACTCGGTATGATCCTGCAGCACGTTCTCGGAGGATGATGCGTCGTTCGAGTGGGAACACGGTGATGATGGGCATGAGGAACGAAAATGTCTGAAAAAAAATATGTTTTACGGGTTAGCTTTGCTCCCAATCTGCCATATTTATAACTGTTTCCGTGCCTGATTGATACAAATAAAGAATAAGACTCCATATCGGTTTTGAACACCCGCCTGGTCATCCGATATCCGGAAAAAGACAAACCCAATAATAAGAAAAAGGATAAATTGCTGTATGAGCGTCGAGATAATGATAATCTTGCTACGCCAAACATGCTAAAAAAAAATCAAGGAATTAAACAAAACACTAAAATATGAGCTATAGGCATCGAAGGGTTGGAAACCATACCTTCAAGTTCCTCTGCAATAATACACCGCATTCCACCGGCCAGGGTACAGCCCAGCGATCAATATGACAATCGTCTTCCACTTTATGTCGTGCACCTTTCTTTTCCTTGAGCGCTTGCTGCTGTCCCGTTGCGGTCTCCCGCAGGGCACTATCAATCGGTTTCACATACTGTGTCGACACCCTGTCCCATGCGTCCAAAAGTTTCTTGAGTCTTTCCTGGGATGTAGGATCCCGCGTATCAACCTGGATGAGATCAAGAAAGACTGCGGACGTGTCAGATGGGCGTGTTTTGCATTGTTTAGCCCAAAAATGTTGGTTTTACTTACAGTCTGCGGGGTTGGTCTGAGGTGGACACTTGTATCCCAGTTGAGCGAAATGCTTTAACGCATCTACAAAAAGGATGATAACATGTGTTTATGTCTATTTCGAATTTCCCAGTTTTGTGCGAATCAGAGTCCCTACCTTTGGCAGGTCCAAACCAGACCATCTTGCCATATGACATGAGCGCGACCCGATCAATCATATCCAAAATAGTTTCTCGCGGCATATGGATCGTCATGACTGTCATTTAAAAAACACGCTTTTGAGCACCACGTTTTTTTTTGCAAAAGTATGACTGGTCTTTTTCAACAATACGTACTAATCGTTTTCCCGCTCTTTTTTGCTAGCTGATAAACCATACCAAAAAGTCAACAACGTATTCGATTACGGCAAGTGCAAACAGCTTACGTTTTTCAACATATCGCAAATGTTCCGTGCCGTTGCAGAGTCGAGACCTGTTGTCGGTTCGTCCAGAAAGAGCGTTCTAAAGCCCCTTGTGAGTAACCTGTGCGTTTGACTATGCACCCACCGATGGAGATCTTACCCTGGATTCGTGACGAGTTCAATACCTAATCAAAACAACAAAATAAGTAGGATGTAAACAAAAGCTATGAAAGTATCAACACACCAATCGACACTCGTTTCTTTTCGCCACCTATGAACCAATTAACATTTTTAGCCATTACAATCCGGTTCATGTAGATGGAAAGCATCAAACGAAAAACAAACGCACCAGATATCCCGCCCATCTGGGAATTCCCAATCCTAGAATCCGCCACATGCGTTAAACCCAACTCTGCTAAAACCTCATCGACACGCGCCAGTTTTTGGTCTTTGGTATATCGACTATTTGGGAGACGGAGCAAAGCGGCTGTAGTGAGGGTTTCGCGAACTGTCAAGTTTTCGTACATCAAGTCCTCTTGTTCGACGTAACCAACCTACCATTAAATGGTAGTATTAGTTTACGAGGGTACAAAAAAGATTTGGCGTTTCATGAGGCTGCTTTTGTTTACCAATCTCTTCCATGTTCGCTTTTCTCGGATGCGTCCGTTGGCGAGAATAACGCCTGTGGGTGTGCCGGTTGGCACCCGCCCAGCCAAGACATTTAAAAGCGTACTCTTTCCTGCACCCGATCCTCCCATGATGGCAACCATCTGATAGCAGACAAACCATTATTATCTGTTCATGATCTCCAATACTCCAATTATTGATATATATTTTTACCTCTCCAGGACGAGCCCGTCCTGACACACCCTTTAGAATCTCCTTTTCCTTTTTCGATTTCCCGCGTCCGACCGTCACAGAGTATCGAACATTTTCCCAATAAATGTCCATACGTCCATCACATCCCGCAGATCCATCTCCATCTTCGTGACCTTCAACAAAGGTCTGTTCTCTACCTTTCCCATCTTGATACTGTCGTGACGTCCTTTGCCGGACCTCACTTGCCGTGTCTTGATCAGAGGGAGTGGAAATGGATATGGAAATCGAGTCGCGAATAAGGCTTCCTGTTCGTTCCGGACGCGGCGGGCGATCCGTGTTCTGTACATGCTTTTCAACCTCTTTGACGCCGTCTTGCCATGGTTGTGCCATTCCCCCATTAGTGACGTACGACTCGGTTCCGATACCTACGGCCTTCGGTACGGGAATGGCCCACCCGTCCTCCCGCTGCATAATAGACGGATCGTCAAGGGGGATCACAACATTTTCGTCGGCTTCCCTTGTTGGGACGAGACTAGAGTGTGGAGGATCGGTTTGAGTCATTTCTAGCTGACTACCTGAAATTGACATTCTGCATGTAAAAAATGAAAATATCTATTACTGTATGCTACAGTCGTCTAAAGGGGGATGGTGACATGATTTGCAACTGGTACTTTTATAGCTTTGATAAAGTAACTAGAAACGTTTTGTGTGCCTTTTTTTCCGCGAAGCACGCGCCGCGTATGATGACCCAATTCGAAATGAATCATGTCGATCGTTCTACGCACGATGGTAGGAACCTTTTTTTTTTTCTTTTTTGGAAGCTCCCTGACTCCTTGGGTTCATCCCCTGGTTTTGTTCTTCTTGCTCCATCCCCCCATAATGCCAAAGACTAGCAGGAGGTATTGGACGTTTGCTGCTTTCTTTAAATGTGCATGTCTTTGTTTTTACAAATATCCTTGCTGTACCCTACCTTTTGCTTTCTGGTTGCTTGACGTTTGTGCTCAACCCTCAAGCGTCATGCTATTCAGAGAAACACGGTAACGCGCAAGAGATACCAAATGCGGATGGAACCACACTGGTTGAGTCGGAGGTGACAAATATAAACTCGCTACTGATGGCCAAAGCACATCCATAGCTCTTACTTATTTGATTAGTGTATTTGGCAAAAACAAATGTCAGTGCCTCGCACACCAGGGAATGAACCGGCGAGAACCGATTCGGAAAAGCCAACTAGCTAACTAACTCCTTACAAGTAACAAACTACTACTAGGCCTAATTACACATGCGATAACGTTACGGTTGGTCAACCGGGTAACTAAGCCCACCACCACGAGAGAAATCCTACTAGCCCTTTGATTCCGAAATTCTTAGTCGGAGGATGTTTCAGATACTAGTAAAGTCAGAATTAGACTGGTAATATGCGCGTGGGAAAAATCATAAGGATATACCTGCAATCGTAGCAATATAGTAGTAGCAGCGTTTGCAAGGGGTTATGTTGTTGCTGTTGTCGGGAGGGCGAGGTCCTCGGCACCAGAGTGGCATTCTCATGATGGACTGAGACTTGAGCATGGGCAGATGCTTGCGAGTCGAGGGTAAAGAACAAGATGGGGGGCAGCAAAGAGGGGGGTTTATATAGAAAAAAGAGTGGATAAATGAGTCATGGAGCATCATGCAGGTGGCAACTGCAGAATATTCCTCTCATAGATGACTGCAAGGGATGATAGTTGCAATCTGTTCATTGCCGCAAATATTGGACCCGTTGAGCATCTTTTGTGCATAGTTCATTTGCCTAAATCGAGGGAGGCATCTTGCATGTCATCTCATTCAATCCAGAGGCTGCATCTATCTGCAGACTGACAGTCTTTTTTGCCCACACACTATGCCTATTGTCTCTCTCTCACGAACATGAGCTATGACTGTGACATTCCTCATTATGGATCAATACTGCAAGTGTTCAGTTCTTACATTACTCAGCAGTCAGCAATTAAGGTTACAATGGTGTGGATTCCACATCGTCATCAAAATAAGGGTATCCATCCTCAAACGTAATAATAACGTTCTTGTATCCGTCCACCTCTGAATTCATCTTGATATCTAAACGTCGCTCAGTGTGGTTATAGAAGACACGACAAGTCTTGAACGCAGTTCCATCACTCAATGATTTGAATGCATTGATGAGTCCCTTCAAATCCTTCCACCCTTGGGATTCTAGTAACACCCAGCCGTCGCATTGGTGCCGAGGAGGTACAATGCGCCCGCGTTTAGGAACGTAGGTGAAGCCATCATTATGCAGTTTGATGTTGAGCCGGTCGCCATCGTAATCATCATAAACGCAAACAGTAGCCAGATACGGAATGTCGTACTGCATAAACCTGAAGTATTTGTTATGTCTATTGTCCATTGTGAATAGCCGTTCTAAGCTGTAATTCACCCCTCGGTGACGGTTCGTGTCGAGAAATGACGTAAATACGGAGTCCAATAAAGCAAACTGGTGATGGCGAAGTTCATCAACATATGAACCTGCAAATGGTACATGAATATCGTCATTATCCCCAGCTCCGTAGAGAATGCGGCCCGGAGGGAAACAGCGGAGTCGCTCCTGATATTTTGGAATACGGAGATCACGAGGCCTTTTACGAGTTGCTTCTTCCACTTCTACTATCTCCGCATATTCTTCAAGATAACGCTTTGTGTGCTCTGCTGCCATTGAATCAGGTGCGAGGGAGTCTTATGTTCTGCTGTCGGCGCGCAGAAAAAAGTCCGAAGGTTGACAAATGTGGCGGTTGCTGCTATCACGTGCAGTGAAGATCCGGTTTCAGCTGTCGGCAAGCGAAAGGTCAATGACGCGTGCGTAATTCCAATGGAACACGCACGATCGGCTTAATCACCAGCCCGTCAGCGAAAAACCTATTAAATACCCAAAAACCATCTGCATTCCTTTCGCAATTTCTCCGCAACCCAAACCAAAAAGACTATACACAATGGCCACCAACCTGCACAAAGCCAACCCCAACAGCCTGCCCGTGACACTTGTCGTCCACCTCCGGTCCAAGCCTCAACACCAAGACGCCGTGTCGGCCCTCCTCCAGAAGGCCGCCAGCATCTACATTAAAGACCAAGGAACGATCGGTTGGCACGTCATGCAATCCCCATCGGATCCGAACCAGTTTGCGATTGTGGAGAGGTACGAGTCCGTACCCGACATTGAGACGCATAAAAAGAACCCGTTTTTCAAGGAGTTTGGGCTAAAGGTCAAGGACCTCTTGGATGGAGAGCTAAAGATTGAGATGTTTAGGGAGCTCAGCAAGCTTTGATAGGGAATTGATAGTATTTATTCATTGAAAAATAGTGAATACAGGGTTGGCAGGACTCGTTTGAGAGCCTCATGCTGCATTTTTAGCATATTTGGATTTGTACACGTGTGGTATATTTGCCAATGAAATATGGTAGCGCCAATGCATCCAAATAACGACAGCTCAACGCCAAGATGTCCTCATATCTGAATATCGGGCACATACTTCCTGACCCTCTCAACCACAACGTCCTGCACCCTGTCCACAGCTTTGCCTTCCAACTCCCGATGACCTTCAATGACGACACCTCTCGCCCGCTCTTGAATGCCCTCCTGTAACCCCCGGACAACACTCTTGAATTTATCGGCAACATCACTGACAAGACCACGGTCCTGGTTTTGGAAAGGATTCCCTCCAAAGACAAATTCAAGCGGTCCACGGATGTGGGAGGGAAGATCCGTGAAAATGTTGGCTTCAATTGTCGTCAGTTCACGGTGCATTGTCGTACTAACTTGACCCCGAATAATGACCATCCCCTCAGATAGTTTCCGGGAAAACAGTGCTTTCAGGTTGCTCATGCCTGGAATGGCCCGATCCGTTTCCTGTTGCTTGTTCCCTCCAAAGAATCCAGATACTAGATCCACCGCATCATCAACGGCGCCTGACCCGATCTCTCTGGGTGAAATGTTGCCGTGGAGATAAATCTTGATTTGCTTGATAGCCTCCTCGGAGAAGCGATCAGCAAGATCTTGATGCTTGTCAGCGAGAAGGCGGGAAACTTGCTCTCGGAGTGGGGGAATGAGTTCCCGAGCTTTTTCTTCAGGGTTGAAGATGGTGCTTGACGCGGTGGTTGCAAAGGATTGAGCAGCGTTCAGGGCGTCTTGGATAATGCCGCGATCAGTAGTCGCAACTGGGGTATCAATCGATCGTGACATTTCGCTCATATAACTGCCATTCGATACGGCCGCTTGAGGTGCGCCATAGCCGTAGCCACCGGTAGCTTGCATCAATGCAGCACCATTCCCATCAGAAGACGGAGCACCGTATCCGCCACTTGTGGGCACATTCGTCCCAGCACTTCCACCGCTTCCGTTCAAAGCAGAGAAATCCCCATGACAGATCTGGTGCACAATTTCTTTCACCCGGATTTCAAGACTTGATAAGGTACTTTCTTGAAAATTCCCGATTTCGCGGGATATGAGAGGCGAAAGTTCTGGCTTGAGACCTGCAAATATGGAATGGATTTCATCCAATGTCATCAGTATAGTTGTTCATTTCACATATATATTTTTACAAAGAAACAAGGATTCTTACCATCAAGGTATTGATCGATAGCGTTGACAACGAAACCTGGCAGCTTGAAGGGCAAGCCACGGTCTTGACCTTCCTCGGTCTGAGGGTTCTCATCTCCACCAACAAGTGCAGACGCTGTAAAGACGGATGGTTCATTTGACTTGACAGGAAGATAATTTGACCACACTTTGCACACTGCCCCTACCTTTCTTTAAAAAGTCCATTATGGGTATCTGTTTGATGCAGATCTACGAGTAAAAGGAAAACAACTTTTTGGAATACGACCTCTGTTGACGGATAGGAGAAACTGACAACTGAAAACGCTTAAAAGCCTGAAACCAATAAGCAAACGCCGCTGTGACGAAAGTTGATCCATGACGCCTGCGGCTGTGCACATAATCAACGGTTCAAATGCATTCTATTCAATGACCGAGTGGATCAGATCAGCAAAGCACACTCTACAATAACCCTCCAATGTGTGTCCTATATCCCATTACTGTCTGCATATAAAGGTCTTGAAAGTGACAATGAATGCCCCGATTGTAATTTTACACTTCTTTCAGATGTAGGCAGCGAGCCACATCCAAGACGCCCAGATTTTGCATCTCGCGTCCAATCCCCATTAGTCCAAAATGAATACGGTCGATGTCGACGTCCGGGATTTGGTAGCGGAGGAGAATCTGGTACGACCGGTTCAACAACGGGATTTGGGGCGCACTTGAATACATTAGGTGGATATTCTGACGTCCAGATGGACATGGATGGCCATTTTGGTTGGGACACAGATGAGCTTTGTTTTGTTGTGGTATTAGGGAGCATTGCAAGGTCGACTTTATAGTCGCTGCCCATGTTATTATCCCACCATTCGCGACCATTGATACTGTATCGAACGGCGAAAACCGTCGTTCCCGGCGTCATGTTGGGGATCTCAACCGAAAATCGTTCCTCACTCTTATCGCACCCCTCGACAAACCCTGCCCACTTGGCACTCTCGGCTCGTGTTTCAGTATACGTTGTCCAGGAATCGTTTGAATATCGAATGACAACTTCTTTCGGGTTGCCCCAATTCGCAACTCGTATGCGGACAATCAAGACTGGTGTCTTTGTGCTCTCCTTTAATGTGAGCATGACAGTCTCGACACGGACAGGCCGCGAGGAATCAAGGCGCGAGAGCTCATCGAATGTAAAGTTTGCCGGACGTACGACCAACGGTGGAGTCCCCGATCCGAGGTGATCGATCGAAGCGTAATCTTGCAGGGTAAATTGCGGACAAGTCAACAGTGCTATCGGTATTGTTCCGCGGGGGAAAACAAGGATATGCTTGAAGGCAGTGGCATTGAAGCGAACGGATTTTGAGGACGGGGATCGTGATCGGATAGCAGGTTTGAGCTTTGATGTCGGTGTAATAGTTGTGGACGCGCATGTTGCATCGACGACACCTTCTGCGGCTGGTGAAACGGGTATATGAAGAAGCGTACTAGGTTCTGTGACTTCTGAAGGTGGTGCCAGGGACACGCTTGGGCGATCGTCAAGAGCTGGTGTGGAGGTTGTCACTGGAAGGCTTTCCTTTAAAGTCACAACAGTGTCTGAGGGAACCAATACGCTAATGACTGCGTTCTGTTCGCCATCTTGATCGGCGGTATGCGTGGGTGAATCTGCCTGCAACTGTTCTTTGCTTTGTTGTGTCATCACTTAACATCTGTCGCTGTCAGGACTGTTTCTGGAGGCACCGTCACTTTGATAAATGTCTCTCCCAGTGCTACCCCATTACTTGAAGTCATCTCGTCAGCGTCCGTGTCCAGGTCGTAGGGAAGCACAAACACCGACGCTGGCATGTCATTTTCGTCTTCTTTGTGCCTATCGCTATTCCGCTCTCCACTTGCTTCGCCGGCTTCAACCTCTCTGCCATTACCAAGCTCATGTTTCAGTGCATGCAGTGTCTTGTGCAAATACGCAAAGTACATTCGATGTCGCTCGTATATATGCTCCCAAGAAGTCCCATTTAAAAACTCTTCCGAGTCGTCGTCGGTATCTGTAGGCGATATTTTGTGAGGTGGGCGGTGCGGATTTGCGATGGGTTCCAAAATGGTTGGCTTCTCCGATGGCAGTTGTGGGTCAAGCAGGATTCCGAGACCTTGTGGTTTCCGTGATGGGCAACATGACAAAGACATGTCAGTCGTGTGTGGTGTCGAGGCCGGCTTTGGCGTCAGACCAGGCATGGTGAAGGCGTATCAAAACTACAAAACGACAGTTGACTGTTCATAAATCGATAAAGACCAAAAAAAATACAGCAAAACAAAAAATGCGCAGCGTTAAATAGTCAACCTTGTGGGGGCTACAAAACAGGGATGATGTAACGGGCGAGGGGTAAATCAATAAGGAGACAGGTCAATGCGCGGAGACAAAAGCGATAAGTTGGGTTTTCTGCGCACACTTTCCTCCCCCCCTCACCGCCCCCCCGTTCTTCTTGCTTTTGCTATGGTAGTTCCCGTCGTCGTTACGCTGTCCCTTCCCCTGTGTAGTTGAGGGCGACATACTCCAAAGTTCCATTTTACAATTGGGGGTCAACACGTTCCACACGCTCGGATGGATGACATTTCACCTTCGATGAGGTCATCATGACCATTCATATCCTACCTTGTGTGACGGAACCAAGCGATCCAATAAACCAAACATGCTGACGTTAGCAATTTCCTAAAAAGGCAAATGTCACTCAACTGATCAGAGGCTTTTGCAAGCAACATTGGGCTTACGAACTGTTTGCTCCTATTCTTTAGCGACTGCCCACCCCATCTTTCTACTCATTTGTCACCATTTCCCTTCTCCTCCGTTTCTGTTCATTCATGTCGGTTGGCGACCCTACAGTGTCACCCTTTTTGGACGCGTTCAAATTTCTGGAAACCATCGAGAAAGACCTGGGTGATGACAATCTTTTCACGGTAAAAACATGACTCCACTCTTGTTATTTAAGGATTCCGCAAAACTAAAGGCATGTCTGTATATTATTAGCAGTTTTTAGAGCTTCTCCCAGTGTTTGCTACCCACGCAGCTAAGGAGAGTGAAGAGCTGCAGACCCAACTCGTTCCTGCGATACATCCCTTTCTCGCCAACTCATCCTCTGCCATTTTCGCCACCTTTGAAACCCTTGCGGAATTGGTAAAACATCAACCAGGCTTCTCAGATGGGTTTACGCGGCTGGTGGAGTCTTATTGGGTTCAAGCCCATGTAAGAGCAATTTTGACTTTGGCGGGATTCGGCGAGGATGTTTTTCGTGTGAGTTGCAAACGCTTGCGGCCTTTTTGCGTGTCGCATCTATCGGCGAAACCTCAGATGGGGCCATATCTATAGGGATACATCACCGCTCTCCAACTCGGTGCACCAAATGCAGAGCATCAGGACATTATGCGACGGATCTGGAATTGGTTTGAGGCAAACGTTGATGCCCGAACGTTAGGAAAGCTTCGCATAGCGTTCCTTCAGGAAGAAGTTGCTCAGAGCATGGGTAATGTTGACAAAGTTTGTTTGCGTACCTAGATTCATTCTCATATCGCGCCACTAGGGATGGACTTTGAGACAATGGCAAAGGCTCAGACGACAATTGCCGATGGTGAGAAGACAGTTAAAACAGCATTCGCTTGCTCTGTCTTTCGTTGCTTATAGGATCGAATGTGTAGATGAACTGTATCACGACGTGCTCAATTATTTGGTGATGTCGCAAAGCCAAAATATTTCATGGTATCAGGTATGGATGAGGTTTGTACGAGCCAACATCTGCCGCAAATTCACCACGTTTGCGCACACACAGATCTTTGACATGATCAGATCTGTTGTGCTACGACGGAAACCCGCCGTTTGGGAGGAACTGGACGCCATATTATCCGATTGGCGCATTGCGAGCGGTAGGACCATTCAGTTTGTCCCTCCATGTAACTGAAAGTATCCTTACTATCCTTGTTCATTGACGCAGCCGAAGAATTCCTCTCCAAAGCCCGTGACATCATTGAAGACGACGAATTCTATGCTGAATTCAGTGCGCAGTATATCGCCGATTCCGACGAAACAATGAACAGCCTGGAAACAATAACAGATGACGACCTGTTGGTTGATCAACTTAAGAAACTGCAAATATCTGCCGCGTCGCCTCGCCCACAAGGGCCACGGCGTCCGGTGATATAATGAAGGTACTTTACGTCGTGTACTACGACTGATGTGAGTTACTGGTGCCTCTTTGCTGATGCAACCTCATATGTTAAATAATATCTGCTTTGAATTTATAATTGTCAAATATATGAAACTGCTACCCATTTCCTTGTGTATGGCCGTAAGCATATAATCTACTTTGACTGTCATTACAATAAAGAGGATGTAAAAAGGGTTCAAAATGTCCATTATCTTTGTTCACAATTATAATTGGTGCATGAGCTGTTTGATGACAGAGACACTCTTGAAAGAACACGTCACCTCGCGTACACCCAACAAATGGTAGTTTGACCTTTCTTGCCTGGTTGTTCGTGACAGATAACTGAGACATTCGGAAAGATCACCACTCCAAAGCGTCGAACTTGATGCTTCCTGTACCTATAAGCACCTAGACAAGGAACGCGCACTCACTCCCCTTACGGGAATGCCAGCGACGGTCACCCCGGAATCGCTGTCCTCGTCGGTTGTACACTCGGCACCAAATTCCAACGAGTTGGATCGTGTCAAGAAGCAAACTTTGTTTGAATTACCAGTGGTGGGTTGGCTGTTGAAGCCTGTGTCGGTTTTGGTGATCTACATCTATGTCAAGGTGTGTGCTTTTTCTTTGATCTTTAAATTGGGAGAACAGTAGCAGCAGGTGCCCGGAGTGAAACTATAACATCTGGGACCAGTACGAACGCAGCTGACTAACGAGCATTATGCCATACTTTTGTTGCAGTTTATTACGTGGACTGCTCCCAAAGTAGATCAACAATGTTTCTTATCGACGGACTGAAGCGTATCTATAGTTATTTCGTCGGTATGATTAGATGACTACTCCGTTCCATTATGTTATAGAGTCTGCTGATCATCTTACCAGCTTTATTTATCAGCGGACTCTGTGAAAACCCACAAGATCAGTCTCATAAAGGCATCATATAACAACCTAGAACAGAAAATTCTTTCGAATTATCCTCCAGAAAAAGTGGCAGTTGCTATCCTTCACACCCAATACGCCCAAGAGCTCGTCACCGGCATTGCAGAACGGCGATGGTCGGCCGAAGATGTCATGCGAGTGTACTGTTTGCAATCTCTGCGACTGCATCGGGAGTACAACTTCATATCAGAACAGTTTATGGAGGATGCGATTTTGTTGGCAATAACCCTTGATGCAAAGTTTCGGTCTACAGGAAGGCTCGTGGGTAAATTTGTGCATTGATACCTGGCGGACGTTGTTTAGAAATGATCTTACTATGGCCATTTGCACACGTTGGATCCTATAGGGCCACTGCATGGACTGCCAATAGCGTTGAAAGACGACATGGACGTGAAAGGCTATGGTAAGGAACAGTTTTAGAGCTGAGTCTGTTCAGTAGGCACTCTGCTTACCATTTCTGGATACTAGACACAACCCTAGGGTGCAAATGCGGGTGCCTGCAACCAAAACACCTAGACGCACCCATTGTCGAATGTCTGCGAACTGCTGGTGCTATTCCCTTCTGCAAAACCAATGTATCTTGGCATCTTCTATCCGCGGAATGTACCAATACACTTTTTGGACAGACCCTCAATCCTCTGGATACCAAGACAAGTCCCGGTGGGAGCAGTGGCGGTGTGAGCGCTTTGGTGGCGGCTGGTAACTATCTAATTTTGGTTAAGCTTCCCACATTTTTACTCACGGAAAGGTTGACGAAATGGTACTTTAGGTGGTGCACTCGTGGGCATTGGCTCGGACGCTGTAGGAGGTCTCCGAGTTCCTGCCCAGCATTGCGGCTTATATTGCTTGAAACCAACCTCCAGTCGTCTACCACCCGGAACCACAAATAATAACACGTTATCTTGGGATACAATACCTCGTGTTTTTGGTCCAGTATCTCGCTCGTTACCCAATATCGTCACCATATTTCGCTCCCTCCTACTCACCCATCCCTGGCGGACTGACCCATCCGTCGTCCCAATTTCCTTTGATCATGCGCTATACACTTCAACCCTTGAATCTCGACGTTTGAAAATTGGCTGGTACACCAATGACGGTTTCTTGCGGGCGCTTCCTCCAGCTTGTCGTGCAGTTCATACTGCTGTGACCGCACTTGAAAAACAAGGTCACGAAGTTGTTGAATTCCACCCCCCAAAAACCATCCAGGCGGTTCTCCTCCTTACCAAACTCCTCGTCATGGATCTCGATTCACCTTGCACCTTCCTGCGGGAATTCCAGCAAGACGATCTAGGGGAACCCATCGTCCCGTTGATGCTTCTTATGCGTGCTCCAATGCTTGTTCGGGCCCTGGTGGCGACATTCTTCGAAAGGATCATGGATGACACCGTTGTGGGACAGATGATTCGGACATTGGGACTTGGCGGCACGACGGCAAGATTTCGCAAAGGGCCAAAAGCGGCCGCGGAGCTGGTCCAATTGCAGAAAGAAAAAGAGGAGTATCAACGACTGTTTGCGGAGGCGTGGAACGAGATGGATGGAATGGATGTGTTAATCTGTCCTGGTGGGCTTTTGATGACCGTTCATTCTTAGCATAACTTTTAAACTGACACGACTTTACCGAAGTCCACGCCATTCCACCACTTCCCTCCGTCTCCTTTCCCTACACTAGCGCTGGAACGTCATATTCTATGCTCTATGGTCTTCTGGATTATCCGGTTGGCGTCGTTCCAAATGTGACAGCTGTAACTGCTGCAGACCGCGTTCACGATACCCTCATGTACGTGCATGGCCAGGAAGGCGCTCCACCACCCGTAAATATACCTGGCCAGCCAGCGGTGCAAAGTCATGGACATCATAAAGGATGCTTCAATTTTCTGGGAATTTTGGGAGTCGAAGAGTTCAATTCAAGGCTTGCCGAGGGCGTCGGTACCGAAGCAAGTGTTGCAGTTCAGGTGGTTAACCTTGGTCGGCGCTCTTTCTCCCGGTACCATATATTCACATTATCTGTCTTGGTTTAGGTCGTTGGACGTCGCTTTGAGGAAGAAAAGGTTTTAGCTGTCATGGAGTTATTGAGAAATGGCCTTGAGAAGAAGAATTCCTATTGAGACGTTGTCTGCGTGTTTTCTTTTTTTTTTCACTTTTTTTTTGCACTGGGAGCGTCAATGGCCACGTGGATTGAAATTGCGCATTGTATTTGATTTGCTTGCTTGGCTTCTGTGAATAGGTACTGTAATACTTTGTGGAATAGAGTTGTTTTGGACATGAAAAATGTGAAATGACAGGGTATAAATTGCAACCATTTAACCTTTCAGCACCTTTACAGAGGATGGAATCTATCCCTCTAGCACCACAAACCTTTCCGTCTAACTACCTTTCCAATCACGCGCCATGAGGAAAGTTCCATACAAACACCGCACCATCCGCACTAACTGACACCACGTTCTTCTGATCCGGCGAAATCTTGACTTGTGTGATATCCATTGAGTGACCGACCCCGACATAGTCAACTGACCCTTCTTCGTAGCGATAGATCTTGACGAGCTTGTCGCTTCCGCCTATGACAAAGTGTTGTCCGTCGGAGGAGATGTCGAGGCCATTGATGGTGTCGGATTGGGAGGCTTCAAGTTCGCGGATGAGAGTACCATCGTAGGTTTCCCAATACGCTACCTATTTGTCCAATGACAGATCCTATCATCAGGTGGCAGAAGGGGAGAACCACGGACAAATTACATGGCCAAATTACGCACCTTGCGATCTGTCCCACTGGTCAAAACTTGACTCTCGTCCGGGTAATAACAAACGCTCTTAAAAAAGCTCGGAGCAAACAAAACCTGATTTCTCACAAAGCGCAACAAGTCCCACACAATGCAACTGCCATCCGCCGAACTCGATACACATTCCAGATTGTTTTTACGGAGTTTGATGGCCGTAATCGTTCCCTTGTGCTCTTTAAGGGTTTCGAGAAGGGTTTGATGGGTAGGTGTTATCGACCAGATTCGGATTTGACCATCTGAACCACCCGAGACGATGCGGAAGGCTGGGGAATGTGGGCTGGTGGGAGACGTAACTGCTAGAGCGGTGACACCCTTTTTGTGGGCATCGGTGATTTCGTATTGAAGGCGGCCAGTTTGGGGCCCAAAGGCTCGGATCTTGCCATCGTTCCAGCCTATAATGCCAAAAAAGTTGCTTAGACTTGTGTTTGCATCAGGTGTTTAGGATTTTCGGTTGCAGCTTACCACTAATCAAGCTGGAACCATCCTTTTTGAACGTGATGCATTTGCACTCTAAATTAGGCACCGCAATTCGCAACAGCTCTTGAGAGGTATGTGCGTTCCAAATACGGATATCGGTGTCAGATGCTGTAGCAAAGACGTCTGACGAGTCCCTAGGTTTTAAGGTTGAAACATTCAACGGTGAATAGTCATGAGCAACTTATCATGGGTCTTACTCTGGGAATGCGATATCATTTACTGCAGAATAGTGGCATGTTGACTTCAAAATGGGTTCAAAATCCTGAACGGACATGTAGTAAATGTTTGAGTAGGATGTACCCGCATACAGATGTGCCGGTGTATCAAACGTAAGGGATGTGACGCTTCCGCTGACTTTTGTTTGCCTATTTTTGAAAATATAGTAATAGTTTATGAAGTGCTTGGCGTAATTGGGTTTGTCGCAAGATGAGACTTACTTGATGATATTTAGTTTAGGGAGTTTAAGAGCAGCAATGGTACCGTCTCCACAGCCAACAACTACGCAGTTATGCGCGGGGGCGAGAGCGATGGAGAGCACACCCATGCTGAAGAGGTCCTGTACCATATGACATTGCCGACCGATCAGGTCTCGTCATTTGGAATGCGTAAAGCCGCAAATATGAGCACTCTACCTTTTCCTTTGGTGGTCCAGCCTGCTTAAATAACCTCGTGGCAACTTTAACCTCCAGCAAGTCTCCGGTAGTCGTTCCACAGTACATGTACTCGTCATTTTCATCCACAACAACACACTTGACCACCCGCTTAATCTGGCCCGTAAGCACATCCGAAGGTCGAACCTTTCTCTGCGCAACATTCAATTCCCAAACACGCAATGTCCCATTCCCACCAGTTACAAACGACGTATCATCTTGATTCAAGTAAGCTAGACAGTTTGCGGCTCCTGTTGAGTCTTTTGAGGCGGGTGCCCCGCAAATGGCGGCGCCCTTTTGAAGGTCCCAGACAATGACACTATTGTCATCTTCACCACCCAAAGAGGCAAGATAGAGGGAATTTGGAGAAAATGCGAGAGATTGGACTTTGACCTTGTGGAGACTGAACCGGTGGAGGAGCGTACGGCTTTCGAAATCCCAGATAATAATATCCGCCTAGTGTTGGCCATTTAATATTAACAAATCACCTTATGTAATTGATCTCACTGCACCACTACATACCTGGAATCCCATATGCGTAACCTGCCCACTCGCAATCAATTTACCCCTCTTATCCACCGCCAAACAGCTCACAGCATTCGTATGTCCCTGCATAAACTCTTGAGCATGAAGTCGACGGTTGTCGTTGATCACGACTGTGGATCCCAGGGAGTAAATGGTATGAATTCCATCTGGGTGCTTGATGTGGCCTTGAGGGACAGAACCTGTTGGAGACAGTTAATTGACTGGTACTATTTTCCGTGTTTGATAAAATTAGAGTCTTACCACTAAATCCGATGATACTTTTTAATGTGAGAGGGGAGAAATCGGCTGGATCTGATGTGGTTTCCATTATTCTGTTGGTCGTGGTCTAATGGAGTGATGCAGATTTGCGGCTCGCCCTCCTCACGCTCTTTCGCCGATCGCTAAAATGTTGAGATCCGTCCCAATGCGCGCTTGTCGGAGAGTGAATGCCGTAATCACTGTTACTATAGCAACAAGAGCTGGCCATGGTCGCTTCATGCTTTGTTGGCTGCGCTCACACATCACCATTTACAATCATGGCCGCTCGACCGCATACTATTTTCTCAACGGCGTTCCTCCTCCTACTCCTTCTCCTAACCCTCACACCATCTCCAGCGACTGCCTTTGAATTTTTTTCCTCCTTTTTTGATTCGCACGATTCACAACAACAACAAGAGCAACAGCAGCAGGGGGACCAACAAAACCAATATCCGCCTTCACAAGGTACTGCAAAGAACGTTGGTGTGGTGTCCCTCTTGCATAGCGCTCACTATATATTTTATCTATGCAGCGTGTAAAACATATGTGTGCCCTTACACATCCGCTTGCGTACCCACACCGTCTCAATGTCCATGTCCGGATGGCCAAACCAAGTGTTCTGTAGGGGATTGGTACGTGTGTGTAAGAGCAGAGAGGGGATGTGGGGTGGTCGGGGGGGCTGGATGGGAGAGAGCGAAAAGTGAGTTGTAGTCTGAATGGGCGAATTTTGGGTGTACAAAGTTCACTGCTTTGCGGATTCACCGCACGATCGGCTCCTCTGATGCCTTGCAATATACTGCCAACCATAATTGATTTACGAATGAATACTACGTCTATGTTGAATTCGATCGGTGAAATATGTACAATATGTTGAAATGTGGGATACCTATCCAGTCATCAAAGTCACTGGCACTGACCCCCTTCGAAAACCCACCGGAACTGCTAATAAGCATTGCGGGCTACGGAGATGTTCATGCAAGTGGGATGATTCATGGTATTATTGATTTCTTTCCGATGCAGACACGTCGATTGTGGTATGCCCAAGTGATTAATCTGAGGTAACCGTTGAATGAGTATTAGCTACGTGTAGTATGTCGGATATCTCGACAAGACACTCGGGAGCACGTTGGCTTACCGATCTCTCTGCGGACTTGGCATCTCGCTACCTAGGTGCTGCTGTTAGTGACCCTTCGACAATCTCCATTTTTCCAGCATTGCCCCTAGTTAGGGGACAATCTTCAAGACATAGCCTTGTGCATTCAAATGGGGGCCAGCTACTGCGTACATTTCCAGATTTCATCAAGGTCATCACTTGGGCAGTCCTCACCGTGATTACATCCTCTCTGATTGCATCATGATGTCCCAGTTCTGACATCCATTTGTCCCAGCAACAAGACAATAATTGCATCTTCGTCCCCATATTTTAGCCAATACAACCTAAAGACTTTCGTTCAGGACACTGGACTCCCAAATAGATACTAATGATATCAATAATATGGTGGTCCAATACGGACACTGTTCGACAGTTACAGATACCCTCAACCGCGTAATGACAGAAGCAGCGAGCTTTGCTATCTACTACCTACGCCAATAATTACCTGAATGCAGAATTGCCTGAAGGGCCCAACTAGGCGTTCCAGCCAAAACTGTACGAATAGCTATCTGAAAGTATAAAAAGGATTCATGGGCTTCCATTTATTTGTTGCTATGGTAATCCCACGATCAATGCGCTGACTTCATCAGCCCAACAATGGTTAAATAATGAAATGCGATGGAAGGCGAATAGTCCTTCGCAGTTATGCAAGTTGATTCTGATATATTGCGCAAACTTTTGGGTGCCCAGACCCACCCCCATGATACACATGAAAATCTGTTAAACAAATTCCAACAGACAAAACGTCTTTGTCTATCAGTGAGCGATTTACTTCCAATGAACTATCAACAGTATGTACATGGATCTACAATGTCTAATTGTGTGTCGTCCACCTTATGCGCAATCACGGGCATTGGTGCAGCAATTAACCCTGCTCTGTCCAAGGAGACATCCGTTGTTTCGGGTTGGCCCTGCTGGGCATGTTATCTCTTTCTTGCCCGCGTCGCACCGGGGTTTGTACTCACAGCCACTAAGGTTGCAATAGTCGCCATCGGCAGCATTGACAGTTGCCACTGCAGATGGCATAAAATTGATGTTAGTATGATCAGTTTTTTTTGGAGCGTAAACTACAATAAGATATCATACTCTGAGTAAGAACGAGGAAGACGAGAGCGAGGGCAAGGATGAGCTTCATTCTGGTTGCTTGATTGATGAAGAGCAGTTGCTTATTGTAGGATCGATGATCGATTGATTGACTGGCTTGCTTTGGTTGAGCTGGGGAGGGTCGCAACTCCTCTTTTTTATATTACAATTTGCATCTATTTGCTATTCAGAGCATAGTTGCAGGATGGCCAGATGTCGGGGACCTGCAGCACTGTTACAACTAGAGTCGACGTATTTAACGGTCAGACAGAGCAGAAACATAGTAGAACCACGTTGGCGTTAACCAGTTTTAATCCCGCCAGAGCAACAGCTATAAAATGGCCAGTTAAAGAATGCAACCTGTCTGACCGTTAAATACGTCGACTCTAGTTGTAGTCTGAACGAGTGCGGTCCCTTGAAGTCCCTTGCAGTGCCAAGATCAAGGGAGATGCCAGTTGGGGATATCTAGATACGGTACGATCCCACCTTTGAGGAAACGCTTTGGGGTCGGTTTGTCGGTATAACGGATACTGACTGGGTCAGTCCTAGCAAAAGTTGTAACTTGACTCGGTTTGGATCCAGATAATTGCAACAGAACCAGTGCACATGAACACACGTTGGGGCGACTCGCGCCGGTTTGTCGGTATAACGGATTCTGATTAGGTTTCACTGGTAAATGTTGCTTTCGCCAGATACTTGCTCTTGCAGATGAACAATATCGGGTGGATTTACTCCCCAAAATAACGTACTGTCGTGATCCCACATGATCAAACGCGTCGATAAATGATTGAACATCGATGTGAGATCAGCTATAATGTGTCACCAAAAAAGATAGCCTCCCCATACTACAACAGGTGAAGCAGGTTTGGAATCCGTAATTTTGGAAAACAAAGAGTGTAGCACATTGGTGCATGAAAACGAGCTTGGATCGGATAACTAAACAGCAACAAACAGCATGCGGAATCAAGCCAAGAACTAATCCGTCAAACACATGACTCATTCACTGTAGCTATTGGTCTGTCTCATAT